GCATCTCATTCGTAGAAGTCAAGCTCCAATGGCGGGCATTCAAATTTCATTTTTTTTTTTCCTTCTAACTCCCAATGAATCCTTTGCAGGATTTTTGTCCAGACCCAGAAAAGTACGGCCACCATATAGTTCCACTAGAACCTTCAAAACCAGAAATTCAAATTGAAGAAATTCTGAAGAAAGAAGAGAGAACGGGAGGCTGAAGAAAGAAAAGCAAAACGAAAACGAAAACGAGAAAATGAAAATAACTTTTTTTGCGTTTTTAGAATTTCACAAAACGACAAAAACAGTTTTGTTTTTGTTTTTTAAAAAAATCTGCGCCAAACGCGTTTTCAATTTTTTGCTTCTAAAAACGTGAAAAATGGGATTGAAAACGGTAACAAACAGGGCAAGACTTCCGAAAGTATTAGGAGGCGTTTGGTTCCTGGATTAGAATCATAAATATTAGAATTATTTTTTATTTATGTGTATTTTTTGTGATAAAAAATACTATAAGAAACCATGAATCATAATTCAAATCATGATATGAATCTCCTTACCAAACGTCTCCTTAAATTTATTTTTAAAGATTTTTAGTAAATTAGAAACGTTTTGCACGATTAGAAAATTAATTTTAGTTCATCTTTGATTAACTCAATAATTTATTATTAATTAATTTTAAGTTAACTTTAATTTATTATTGATTAATTACTAAATAAAACCATTTAAAAAAAAGTTAAGGCATAAAACAATTGTTTTTTTTCTTAAAAAAAAATCGGCTATTTGGAAAAAATTTAAAGAGTAGCCAAATAACAATCATTTACCTAATTTTTCTTTACGTCTCCGGATTCCACAAATGGTTCTTAAACTTTAACCTCAATTAGGGATGGCAACATGGTGGATTTAGAGCGGAGTAGTATCATTATCAATTCGCCCCGCTAATAAAAATACTCATCATATCCGTCCTATAAACCCGCATAAATTAATAGGTTACGGAGTAAATTTTTCTGTCACAAGTTCAGAGTATCGTAATGCCTCATTCACCCAATTAGTTGCTTGCATTGTAAAATAAATAATAATTAAATAAAAATACAAACATACAAATCATTAAGTTAAAAATAAAATAAAGGTAATTTTAAATTTTCATAATATTTATGTAATAGATTATACTTAAAATTATATATTATAGCATATTATACATAATATGTCCAATTTAAAAATAGAATATAATTAAACGGCGAGGGTAGATAGAGAATAAAGTCAATTCATTTCCACCCCGCAACCCGTCATGGGTTAAACTTTTAACTCGTTTACAATTTGAATCCGTTTAAAACTTTTAACTCGTTTACAATCCCGCAAATAAATGGATTAACGGGTAAAATTATAATCTCTAACTTCAATCCCATTTTGATTCTTGATTTTTAAAATAACTCAAATTTTAATCTTAAAACTATTATTTTATTTCAATTTTAGTCTTTCTATAAGTTGGGTGTTAAAAACAATGCGAAATACAAATGATTTGTTATATTAAAAAAAGTGCTACTATCAAGATCATGTCCGCATTTTCTACTTTTTTTTATTTGCATTACATGTATACTCTATCCTTTTTTTAATACTTAACTGGTATGAAAGACTAAAGTTAAGAAAAAAAAATGATGAGTAGAGTTAAAACTTGGAAGCTTTTAAAAAGTGCATCATTTTTAGGATTGAGGGATTCTTTTTAAGATTATCCCTCATTCTTACTTTCTTTTTTCTTTTTTTTTTTTCCTAAAAAAAAAGAGAGAATTATTAGCATTATCCCTCCATCAATATTCTCTATCGCTTCGAAAATTCTAAGTCCAATAGAATGAAAATGACTGGATCTAATTCTAGAAAGAGGGGCTCAGCTTTCACTTAAATCATCGTACACCTAAAGCCGCAGGTCCGTTCATTTTAATGATTCGAGTTTAAAATTTGAATTTTGTTACAGTAAAAAATTCTAAAAAACAGTCACATTTAATATTTTTATTATAATAAAAAATTCTAACATAAAATCACATTTAAACTCAAATTAAAACCTCAAATCAACGAGCTACACAGACTCACAAATTTTGAGAGCTAGAACTCACAGAGGCCAACAACACATTAGTCAAGTAGAAATCCTACAACGGGTGGAGTTGACACATAGATATTAGGATAACCGTGACGATGTACTTGCACCAAGCCGTTAGTGGTCTTAGTTTTATTTTGAATGTCAATTCTTTTCAAATAAAGATATTAGGATAAACGCTTTTAGTTTTTTTTTTTTGTAGGCTGTGCTTATCTAGTATTCTTAATTAATTAGTTTTACTGTTCATTTTTGTAATTATAACTGTAACTTTGTGCATTTCACTTAAAAAGCCCGAAAAAGAATAAATAAAGGACAATAAACATGCTTTTGTGAAGTTTGAGTTTCTCCGAAACCCATTTGAAGATTAAAGTTATTTTTAAAGGAGCTTTTCTGATAGGATCAGAATAAATAAATTATCGATAATTTTTTATTTTTAATTGTAAGATTTGAATAAAAAATTTTATGCTTTTTATATATTTCGACCTGATGTGATTTTAACTTGTTCCAACAATCATAAAATTGACACTACTGATTGAACTGTCCTACTAGAGAAACTCCCTCATTCCAATTCACTTTATTCATCATTCTACTTTTTTTAAATACAAATTTATATCATAAATAAGGGACTATTTTTAGTAGCCAGTCCTATCGGTAGTGTCAATTTTTGAGCATTGAATTAGGTTAAAATCACATTAGATTGATAAAATATGCATAATAGATAATTTCTTATACAGATTTAACGGCATAAAATAGAGAGCCATCGTTAGTTTATTTTTTTTAGATAAAATTATTTTCATACTCTCTATTATAGCGAAACATCTTATTGGTACCTTAGGTTTTTAATAATACTGAAAAGACATTTACCTCTAAAGAAACGTTTTTTTCAGTACCTTACGACTGATTTTTGAAACATCCAATGACTAAACTGTCATTTTTATTAATAAAATAAGAAATAATAACTAAAAATATTTTTTGAAAACATTTTAATTTATTTTAATTGTTTAATTTTTAAGGCCTTAATTGGTTCGCCGTTCGAAATGTAATGATTTGGTTTGAAATGTAGAATCTGAATTTTAATGATTTCAATTACGATTCGATTTGGTGTTTGATATACAAATAAATTATAACTTAAGTTTGGAATAAAATTGGAATTGTATTTGGATAGAGTGTTTAAAGTTGCCATTATAGTTTGTTGAAGAGAGAAAAAAATAAAAGTAGTAGTGTTTGAAATGTTCTTGACAATCTAGATTGTTGATTTTAGGGTAGAGGTAAATCCTAAAATCAACCACTCGAATTGTAAATAATAATTTGAATTGCCCGTTTATTTCTAAACCAAACACTAATTAAGACTTTGTTCACTTTGCGGATCTGAGTTTCCAATTCATGCTGAGATGTGATATTTTTAAATAGCTTTTAACTGTAGCAGAAAAAGTTAGATATTATATTTTTTTAGAACTTTTAACTATAAAAATGTATAACTGAAAACTCGGATCAGTAAAATAAACAAGGCTTAAATCTTTAGGCACAATTTGAATCGAATTGTTTAGTTCAAATTACTAAATCAAACAGGGATAAATGTTTTAAAGTATTTTCAGATTTTTTTTAAAAGAATTATTAACTTATTATTAATAGGTGAAAATAGAGTCATTTTTAGGCCTATTTGGCCACATGATTTAAAAACAGTTTTTTGTTTTAAAAAAATAGAAAATTATTCTGCGAACAAAAACACACCACTTGGATAGTGTGCTCAAAATATAGTTTTTTGAAAACAAAGGTTGCGTTTGGAATTAGTTTCAAAATAATTTTATTTTCTGTATAAAAATGGAAATGAAAACGTTTTCATTTTCATTTTGAAATTATTTCTGAAAATGCGTTTGGTAATTTTATTCAAAGATTGATTTCAGTTTTAAGAAAAACTTAAACTGCGTTTAGTGGTTTACTTTTTTAAATTGTCAAAGTTAGAATTTAGTTGCAACACTTGTCATCAAACTAGAAAAATGCCAAACCACCTACATATTAACTAATGACTCAGCCACCAACCACCGTTTAACACCACCAATTTTTTTACTCCTCAGCAGCTTATGACCAGAAAAAAAAATCTCTACTCAAACTTCTTCTCCTTTCTCCAAAGTAGAAGACAAGAGCTAGAAAATTCGGACCTAAGAGAAACCTCCTAGAAAACCATGATTTTTCTTGACAAATTCTAAGTTTAAACCCAAATTTAAGAGGCCAACTTGTACAGCAGTCAAGGTAAGGTGTTCTTCTTGTATTAGAAGGGTTTTTTCATGCTTTTGATGAATTTTTTATGGGTTATGTGTTTATGGGCTGATTAGATATGTCCTTGTAAAAATGCAACAACCTTAGAACAGAGAAGTTGGGGGTCGACTCAGATCGTCGGGGGGGGGGCAGTCGGAGAAGATGGTGGCGGGCCGTCGTCTCCTTCGTAGAGAAGCTTGTTCCAGTCAAGCTCCAATGGCCGTTTGCACTCTCCCCTATTCCGTGAGTGAGAAAAGGAAAATAAGAAAATGAAAACGGTATTATATCATTTTCAGTTTTTTAGAAAAAGACAAAAATGTTTTTATTTTTGTTTTTTAAAAAGTTTTGTGCCAAACGTGTTTTCAGATTGCGTTTTCATTTTTTAGCTTCGAAAAACGTGAAAAATGGAAACAAAAACAAACATGATAGAAAACTGAAAACACCATTTTGGTGGTTTCATTCTCCATTATCAATCAAATGACTTTTGAATTCTCTAGAGAGATATTTACGACCTTGATTAGATCTAAATTTCTTTAGTCTCATTCATTTCATCGATTATAATTTAGAATTTTAGTTTTATTATAGTAAAAAACTCTCAGAAATAATTATATTTAACTTTTTGTTACAATAAAAAAACTCTTACATAAAGTTACATCTCTACTCAAATTAAAAATTTGAATCTACGAACTAAATCAGCCATTTATGTTTTTATCAAATTGTTTTTTTGTAGTCTTGAATTCGTTAAGTTTCTCAAAAACTTCAAACTTATGACGTAATAGATAAATATAGTCAAATCTTGAGTAATCATCTTTGAATGTAATAAAATACTCAAAATCTCTTCAAGTTTGTACATTTATCTTGCCAAACATATTAACCTTATTTTTATTCATAATTATGTTAAATCTTATTTTTAATTTCATGAAATTTTAAATATCTCAAACTATAAAAAAGACAAAGAAACACATAAAATTACAAAAATGAACTCTCACTAAACTGTAATTATTCTCGCGTTTTATTTACTAAAATTAAAACAATTGTATAAACAAAAGGACTAATCTGAATATATATATATATATATATATATATTTATATAAACTGAGATCTTTAAGAAGTCAAAAGACTAAAATGAGATTTTACCTCTGGTTAGAAAGAGTGATTAACAGTATATATTTAATAGGTTATTATTATTAACGTTCTTTAAATTTTGGAGTGATTTTCAATTTACTTTATAAACTTAAAAACTCTTATTTTACTTTATAAATTTTAAATTGTTTCTATTTAACTTTTTTTTAATAATTTTTATTAAAAATAGATAAAAAAAATAACATAGTCACATAATTTTTTTATTAAAAAAAATATAAAAATCACATGCACACATTTAACTCTTTTTTTATCTAATTTTAATAATAATTACAACAAAAAAATTAAGTGAGAATAATTTAAAAAATAAAACTTTAAAAAATAAATTAAAAATAACTCTAAAATTCAACCGCTACATGAGAATAATTCTATTTAATATCTTGCCCGGGCCTAAACTGATTCTCACAGCCTTGATTCCTTCGCCTATATTATCGCCTCCCAATGACGCCACTCTTTTTGTCTATACCCACTGCACGCTCACTCTGTAAGAATTTCCTCAATCTATCTATTTTATAATCTCTCTCTCTCTGATTTTTCGAGTTCCACATGGGATTTCCTTGGTATTGAATCTATAAATTGGGAAGTCAGGAACATTCTATTTTCTCTCTACGTTATGAGTTTCAGCAAAAGTATAAATCTTTATTGTCTTGCTTGGCTAAAATATTATAAGCTTTGAATTTTTCAAGCCTAGAATCGGAGAAGTTTTAGTATTTAGTGAGTGGGGTGAGAAACTATTGCATACCCGGATGCATATTTTTGGTCGTTTTTGTTTCTTGATAGTTTTTTGTTCCGTTCTCGAACTGTACAAGAGGATTTTGAAGAATTTTCTGGGGCTTTTTGGGAATATGGAAAATGATGCCTTTAATTTCTTGAAGTTTATCCCCCAAAGAAACGACTTTGGATTCGGGTTCTTGGTGTTTGGATTTTGCTCACAAGTTTTTGGTATATTATTTGGGCTGTTTCTTATGTTTGGTTTGGGGTTGAAGTTTTTGCAAGTCAGTCGGTTTTTTTGCCACTTTAAAGGCAAGAAAACAAGTGATTTGGGAAATGGGGTTTCTTCAAAATATAGTCTTGTTGAAGTTTGTGATCAAAAGATAGCGTCTTGTAAGTGTAATCCTAAGGAAAATAATGTGGAGGAACATGAAGATGACGGCGAAGAAGACGGCGGCGAAGACTGTAACGAGGACGAAGAGTTTAATGTAATGGCATTGAGGAAAATGGTGAAGATTGAGAGAGGAAGGGCGAGGAAAGTGAGGAAGGAGCTAGAGAAGGAAAGACTGGCTGCGGCGTCGGCGGCGGAGGAGGCGATGGCGATGATCCTGCGGCTTCAGAGCGAGAGGAGCAGCGTCGAGATGGAAGCAAATCAGTACCGTCGGATGGCCGAGCAGAAGCAAGTGTACAATGAGGGAATCATTCAGTCATTGCAGTGGATTGTGGCCAAGCATGAGGAAGAAAGGAGTGGTTTGGAAGATCAACTGAGGTTGTGCAGGAGAAAGCTCAAGATATTCATGAAAGAAAGTGAAAAGGATGAATCGGAAGAAGATCATATGACTTCAACCTTAGAAGACTATAGCCCACTGGATGATATGGGGTCAGTTGTTAGTTCTCTTGACTTTGATGGCTAGGTTTTTCTTTTGTATTTATTAAACAAATGTCTGTTTATGAGACGGTGTACCATTTAAATAAAATGACGTGATACATTTGGTATAATAAATAATTTCTCGTATTATTATAGAATGATTGCTCTAATGAATATTTACTTGTAGGTCACATAGATATGACTCACATTTTTTTTAACATATAGATGAGATCAAGAATTGAAAAATTAGATATTGCTATCGGAATTTTCGTATTTTGATGCTACCGATATTAAAAGTGTGGTGTTACTTCGTTTTCGTAAAATATTGAAAAATTTGGGTAAGTATTGATGTTTTATGGAAATGGTAACATTGGTGAAAATTGAAAAGTGAAAAGTAGTGTGATATGGTCATCTTTAAGGAAATTTCCCTAGAATGTGCGTATATACATTATATGTCTATTTATTATATATTATTTTAAAATGTGATTAAATTCATGTATATTTATGTCTATCACCATTTCATATGGCTTTAGGTGAAGCCACGAATATATCTTGTCACTCTATATGTCTTACTATCAATATCGTTTGATTAAATTATGAAGATAATATCTTTCAACCTCCTAGTAACTCCTTTTAGTATTCTTTTTTTATAAGTCCTTCTAGTATTATTTTTTTCTTATTTTTATATGGAACTATGAATGTTACTGTTAGGTCTAATTTAATAATACTAATATTGTGAAATCATTTTGCTTAATTTTTAATTGTTTGTCATCTAGACATCTACTTACTCAGTATTTTAATTACTACTTTTACCTGAATTATATATTATTAATTTTTACTTTCATAAAGTTCATTTAAAAGTTTGTATGGTATTGCAACAAACATTCCGTAAAGGTCGACAATTCGGCGATTGACCTAGTGCCAATACAATTATGTTGAATGGATGTTTTATGGTAATCTTTGAAATACCACAGCTATATTTTAAGGGCCTTTACGGTGGAGTAAGCTACTTTACTTTACTGGTGGAGACTGTATTTTTACCGTTAAATTAATTTTTTAACGGTTAGATTTATAACAAGAGCAATTCTGTGTGCGCACTATAAATTTTTAGTAGGGATATACATATATTTAATAGTTAAAAACTAATCTTAACAACTGTTCCCCACTGGTGAAGCAAAATATCTTGCTCCACCATATAAAGATTCGATTGCATCAAAACTTGCAATATAACGAAAAGATAACTAGTTTTTCGCACCCTCTATTCAATTTATGTTTCCTTTAAAATCAAAATGAAGTGATTGTAAACATAATTTAATGGTACATTTTATTCAGGAAAAATAAAACATAGTTTAAGTCTAAATCCTTTTTTCAAAAAAAAAAAAAAATCAAAATGTAGAAATTCCAGGGTCATCATCTAGCCAATGCACATGCTAGCTCGTTTGGAGATATATTATAATAATCGTTATTATAATGAAATGGTAATTTTTTTTTATACACCACGTTCATTTTAAGAGTGAACGTGATTTTTTTTTTTTTTTGGGTATGGCACGTAGCATTACCACCTAATAATATCTTCATTTTCAGTTCATTCATATTTGTAACGCTAATATATTTGTTAGAATGAAACCCTAAGAGACGTTTATTTTCTATATTCATTGTTGATTATGAATCATGATTTATGGTTTTCTACAGTATTTTTCTCTCACAAAAAATACACGTAAAACGAAAATGATTCTAAAGTATGATTCTGAATACATAAACTAAATATCCTCTAAATTTCTTTATACATCAATTTTTTCCATATCAAATAAAGCATGACCAAATAGTTATATGTGGTAATAGCATGTTCATTTTGGTAATGATATGTTATTTTCCGGGAGAAAGAGGAAAATAGGCCAAGACTTGAGATAAATTAAAATTAATAGGCCAATAGTTTACATAAGTTAATAAATAGGCCAAATTACTGTTTTCGTCCATAATTTGTCTGGTTATGAACCATAACTTGACAAGTTATTATCCATAATTGTCCATAACTTGTCTGGCTATGAACCATAACTTGACAAGTTTGTCCATAACTTGACAAGTTTGTCCATAACTTATCTGGTTATGAACCATAACTTGACAAGTTAAGGCCTATTAATTTCTATAATTAAAAATTGACATATATACTTTCTTAAGCTTTCATATTGGCCTATTTTCTACTATTTTCCTTATTTTCGTCGTGAATATAGCAAATGTATCATTATCAGTATTCAACATGTCCTCATTATAAAATTAAAGCAGTTACAAGTATCATTATTATAATTACATTATGTGATGTAGGAAGAAAATAGAATTATTGTTAGTTTAATAATTGTACTAAAGTCTTAATGTTTAATTTAATTGTTATTATCCATTGTATCGTGCTTGTGCTCACCTATCAAATCTGGCCCATTTTGACGTCTCTAGTAACTACATATTTTCTCACCTATTTTTTCACCTATTTTTGGGGTTTGAAACACATTAAACATGTCATGCTTTAGGTATAAAAGGGTATAGCTAATCCCAAAGTCGAAAAGGTCCCATAAATTTGTAATTTTATTAAGAGTATGACTATGCCATGTGCTATCATTCTACTCAAAAGTATTCCTTATTGGCAATCTTTTCAAATTAGTTTATCCAACTAAACAATTCTCCTGATTTTATTTTTAAATAATTCATTATTTATGCCCGAATCTTTTCAAATTAATTTGCCATCATTTTTTTCAATAATTTATTGTTATTATTAAATATATTTTAAAAGTAATATTATCAGAATGAACTATTACATCAAATATCACTATCTAATTTTCCTTTAGTTTCTAAACTAAAATCCACGCTAAAAGGTCTCATATTGAGTTTTTTATTTATTAAATTGTTTTAAATTAGTCTTTTTTTTTCCATCTAATTCTTACAATCTCAATAAAAAGAAAAGACCTTGTAAGGGTTGTGTGTAGTTCAGTGAGATTTTATTTTTGTAAGTTTATATGTTGGATGAAGAACTCTTCTGGCCACATTTTAAAAGATGGAGACTAAAACTAAAATTTGACATAATTGGGAGATCAGATTATCATTGGCATGTCAAGAGCATCTCTAATATTGCTCTAATTAATGTGTTAATTATAAATTTAACATATGAGTGTAAAAATATTCTCTAATGCAATGTTATTTGTTGTGTTAAATTTTCTTTACAAATTTCTCATCAAGTATAATATATGAAAAATTTGATATTTAATTTCTGTTGATTAAAATGTTTACTTTTTTCATGTAATCAATGCAACTTTTACATTTTTTAATTATTTTAAAAATAAAAATTTACTCTTACAACTTTTAAAGTTTAATAATTATAAAAAAAATAGATTTAATATTTTAAATAACATTATGCATTACAGTAAAAATAAAAACAACATACTATATCATAATTTTTAATGTTAAATATATAAATGACACATGCAAATGAATTTTTAATATTAAATATATAAATGACATATGCAAATGAATTTTTAATGTTAAATATATAATTCACATAAGTATTCTAATTATAGTTGTGCACAGGAGATTCTAAATGCCTCGTTCGTTTCGCTGATTCGAATTTAACTACAGTAAAAAGCTCTCACAAATAGTCACATTTAACTTTTTTGTTATAATAAAAAGTTCTCAAATAAAATCACATCTCAACTCAAATTCTAAACTCGAATCAGCGAAACGAATGAGCCACGTATGTTTTGTACTTTTGTTAATTGCTTTTCGAAACGTTTCACCGATACTCTATCCGTAATTGTGCGTTTTGTCTACCTCACTGAATTTCCATGGCCGACGCTGAGAAAGTGCCCAACCCTTACTTCCGTTGCCTTTGATCAGCCGGCCATTCCCCGTCGCCTTCGCCGTCTCCGTCGCCTTCGCCGTCTCCGTCGCCTTCGCCGTCTCCGTCGCCCTTGCCGTCGCCGGTAAGAATGTTTTGGCGTCAATTTCTTTTGTTCCCGGGATAGTTGGGGAAAATAAGACTCAAACTGGAATTCTCAGAATTTGCTTTTGGTTGAAATTGTGAATAAATTTCAAAATTAAGATGGCTAATTAAGGAAGGAAAGGCTGAATGTTAAGAATTCTTCTCATTTGATAGCTGCCATATGAAAATTTAGGCGCTTTATAGAAATTTCAGGAAATTTCTGTTGTCAGTTTCTCTTGCTTTTGTTTAATGTAGATTTCCGTTTGGTTCTCGAGAAAATGAGGAAAAATAAAATTAGAATTCGGATGTTTGAGTATTACCTTTGACTGAACAATCTTCAGCACACAACTTCTAAGTTAATTTCAAGTTATTCTATGGATTTTCAAGTGGGAAGGATAATCTAAGAATTGTCCTTCTAATTTAGTTGTAGCCAATGAAATGAGGTCGGCATTGATGAAAACTGAAACTTTAGGCACCGTGACAAAGTGTCGGTGACATTTCTGTCGTTTGAAGCCAATTTGTTTGAACGTTTACGAATTAACTTTTTAACTTGGTATTTTAAGGCGTTAAGCAGATTGATTAGCAAGGAAAGAGTTGATTGCAAGATTTGAACTTGATGATGATGATGAACATGACAAAGCCTGGAATGGCTCGAGCTATTAGATTATGTGGATAGGTGGTCTGGTGAGCTCTCCATATCTTGAGAATTTTTTAAATAAGTAATCACTTGAGGGAAATCATGTTTGTAAGTGAAACTTGTTGCTTTATGATAATACGAAATCAAGGATACATTAATGACTATAAAAGAAACATATATATATATATATAAACACGTGTGTTGCATTGCTTTATGATAATACGAAATCAAGGATACATTAATGACTATAAAAGAAACCTTCCATCTAAAACTTGGATGCAAGACAATTCTCTTTTATCGGAAGACGTCATTGATTTTGGTTTTCAATTTTCACCTAGTTATGAAAATATAAGTTGTATCATAGACGTAAAAGTGAAATCGGTATTATTTATTCAGTATTGAATCCCCAAAATTGTTCTCTTTACGTAATTAATTGTGGTTCTTGTAAATCTTGCATAGGATAAGGCGAATGATTAGGTAGTGCTTATGCCAAGGACATTAATTAATGTGGGTAATAGAGTTTTCGTGATTTTATGCAGGCTTTGCCACAAAATATAGAGATGAATGTTCAAACTTGCATGGAGTCAAGTGACTCACCAGGGATGCTTCCACCTCCACCTGGAACCTTTGTAGATCGTGAAGAACTTATTCAACATGTTGGTGAGTTCGCTGTGTCTCAGGGATATGTGGTAACTATTAAGCAATCCAAGAGGGATAGAGTGGTCGTCCTTGGTTGCGACAGGGGAGGTGTTTACCGTAATAGGCGTAAAACTGTTGATGAGTCCTCCGCTGAGCACACTCGCAAAAGAAAAACAGGCTCCCGGCTAACAAATTGCCCTTTTGAAGCTGTGGGTAAGAAGGATGATGGCTTGTGGGTACTTACCATTCGAAATGGAACACACAACCATGAGCCCCTAAGTGACATTTCAGAACATCCTTCTGCTCGTCGCTTTACGGAGAGAGAAGTTTTGCTAATTAAGGAGATGACAGATGCTGGCTTAAGACCTCGCCAAATATTGAAGAGACTCAGACAAAGCAATCCAGATCTATTATCCACGCCAAAACATGTTTACAATGTTAAAGCGAAAATTAGACAAGGAAATGTAACAGGTATGGTCTATTTGAACTTTAATTGCATTAAGTAAATACCATTCTTTCAGTGAATTTTAGTTTTTAGCTGTTTTCCTTCTCTCCCTTAATACAACAGCTTATACAAGGCGTATAAGGCTCTTGATTGCTCTGATATCATAAACATAACAAATCTATCTGGAATGCCATCCATATTTAGTTTCATATATACTAGTTGAAACTGCGCGTGTATGCGTGTGAGATTCTGCAGGTAAAATAAAAAAAAACATATTTATTAGGGTCACATTTGAAAAAATAGGAAAAAAAAAGAAAAATGTATAATAGGGGAAAAAAGATAAGAATGTAAAAAGGGTAGACAAGAAAAAAAAAAAAAAGAAGAGAGGGAAAAATGGAGGAAAGTTGGAAAAAAAAAATCGCACGGCAGTGTGTGAAACCGCTGTGCGAAACCTATTGTGCTCTAGTATATAGGTATAGGATACACACACACACTCGTTAATGCTGCCTACGGAAGCTTGTACCAATTTTGGTGTTTGCTTTCTTATCCTTTTAGGAGCAAAGTTAGTGGATCTAGTTAATTTGCGGGTTAGTTGCTTCAAAGACGAGGGTTACATGCCAATTATGTTGCATAATGAATCATCAAACTATTGGTAAAGTTGATGTGGAGATCTGGAGTGTGTCACTGTATGAAAAATATGTGGGCAATTATAGGAGGGAGACGTATTGCTAAATTAAGTTAATTGTAATCTGGTTTAATTTGTGGTCGGCACAAAGTGTTGGTACATCAGTGCAGTATATGGGGATTTGATTTTTCAATTTAGCCCTTTATGCAAAATTTGATTTGACTGCATTCAAATCTCCTTTGAGGACTTTGTTTAGGAGTGCCGGCTTGTTAGATTTCAGCTTCTGTTTTTTATTTTATTTTATTTTTATTTTACTTATCTTTTTTGAGTATGTTTAATGAAACGATACATGTTAGTGGCTCAAAACTTGCACCTGAAATTTTTAGAATATTCCATTCCCGTACGGAGAGGTAAAATGGAACTTTATATTTTATTGGCTAACGTCAGTTGCCATCCTTATAGTAAGCCAATGGTTATTGTGCTTGGGAAGAAATTTCTTCATGAAGATGCGTTGATGGGAGAAGATGGTTAAACTGTCTTAGGTTTGTGTTTGTTTTTGTCTATGGCTGTGTTTGGTGGAAGGAACCTGGGCTGTTCTCACTAGTGTCTCTCTCTCTCTCTCTGCTTTTTCTTGCCAATAATTTCACCATCTCTTTAAGCAGGTGAAAACCATTCATTCAGAGAGCAACAAACTATCTTTTACATTCTTGATAGGAACCCAAGAAGATTCTCTGATTTCAATTTGTGTCCTAAAAAGATGAGGAAATAAATTCTGTTTCCTCAGAGTGGGTTATGGCATGTTTATGTTGCAGTGAGGAACTTTAAATCATTGAGACCTCAAAAATCTGCTGTGAGTAACGATTACCCTGCAAGCAATCCCTCTTCTAGGCAACGCGACCCTTTGGTAAGCTTGAATGTTAATTATAGTATTATACAATGGTCAACAGTCTTACCCCAAATATGTGTACAGTGTGCTAAGAATAGATGTATAGGCACATTCACACGCAGACACCTACCTCATTTGAAACTTTTAGAAAAACTTTTTTTTTTCTCTTAAAAACTTGGTCTCAAAATTTAAGTTGTGTTTGCAATTTAGTTCATCAAATAGGCTCTAGCATACTATCCAAGTTGTTAACAAATTTCTGTGAGTGACGGGGGTTTTATAAAATGTAAAGGTGAAAATGCCAACTAATGGGACTTTTTTCTCAAATGAATCAGCTAATATTCACAAATATCACTCATCAACATAGGTATTTACAAGTTTGGCAGACTTAGCTGGTTGGGCTTAGTTGCATAGACTAATTAAGCTTAATGATCAATTTTAAATAGAAAAGTTTAAGAGAAATTGTAAACTAGATATATTTTTTAAGGAGGGATTAGTGCAATTTACCTTATATTTACTATCTTTATGTGTCACAATATGAGCTTTATTTGAATTATTGGTCTCCCTTCTTTTCTTTCATTTCAGCTAACTGGATTTGAACTCATTCTGCATGTATTATAGAGGGTTCCCAATCTCATCGGTGGTAGATTTGTTGATTCACAATCTTTTGCCTCTATTGATGTTATCAACCCGGTAAGGAAACTGCTCTTAAAAATGCTTCTCCTGTGTCTACATGTTAGTATGAAGATAACTGTTGGTCAACATGTGTACCTTTCTTAATTATAGGCAACACAGCACATTGTTTCTCATGTTCCTTTAACAACAAGTGAAGAGTTCAAAGCGGCAGTATTTTCAGCTAAGCGCGCTTTTACTCCATGGAGAAACACACCAATTATGAATCGTCAACGCATTATGTTCAAATTCCAAGAACTTATCCGAAGAGACATCGTAAGTATAGTGATCTCTGTTTGAAGTTACGTTATACAAGCCCCAAGATTTGTTAATTTGAATCACAATATGTCTTCCCAGGATAAGCTTGCAATGTGCATTACTACAGAACATGGCAAAGCGTTGAAGGATGCATATGGTGATATATTACGTGGGCTAGGTTAGTTTCTGACTTTTCCTGTTTTTTTTTTTTTTTTTTTTTTTTCTTTTTTTTTTTTTTTTTTTTTTTTAATCATTTATTGTTATTGTTATGCGGGTGATGGTTGAAGTTAACTCCTTTTTCATAGAGGTGGTGGAACATGCCTGTGGCATGGCAACCCTGCAAATGGGAGAGTTTGTTTCCAATATAACTAATGGAATTGATACATACAGCACTAGAGAGCCTCTTGGTGTTTGTGCTGGGATCTGCCCCTTTGAGTTTCCAGCTATGATTCCCTTATGGGTAAGTTTGCTGTTTTATTTTCTCCATAGTTGTCTTCCTTTTTTTTTGTGTGTTATATTTTCATTCTGGCAAGTGTTCTTTTATGCTTGATCAGATTGTTTCCAATGCCATTCGTTTTATTTAGACACAACCTACCCAAGTTTAATTCCTGTTCAACGGTGTTGTTTTTACTGTAGTGATGCAGAGTTAACTTTCAGATTGTTCAGGATGTGCTTCGAAATGCTATTGTCTATGCTACTTTAAGCTCCTGGATTTTTTTCTTTTTCTTGGGTGGGGAGTGGAGAGAACAGAACACATATAGTACAGCTATGGGAGCCAAAATGAAAATATACAAGTAATTTTTAAGATGTGGTGGAACCTTGTACAACACTGAATATTAAAAAAAGAACATGCAATATTTAAAGATGGGGTGGATACTTTTTCCGCCTTTCACATTAGGGTTATGTTTTGTGGTTTTGTAACTTTATTGTGCTCAATACTTTAGGATGTCTGTATGGTTCTTGTCTGCTTGGTATAAATAAGTCACCATAATGGAATAAAAAAGAAAGCTTATTATGTGCTGAAAAGTCTCTTTGATGTGTTTATATTTTGAGAGAGAGCTTATTATATGCTGAAAAGTCCGTGCATATACTTTCTCCATGCAGATGTTTCCTGTTGCAGTCACATGTGGCAATACATTTGTTCTAAAGCCATCAGAGAAAGATCCAGGTGATAAGAACCCTCGGAGTGAATTGATCCTGGAAAGTGTTTTATTAGATGTGTGGAACTAGGAACTCAAGTCATGTATGTCCTAACTTTAGCTTTTAGATGAGATGTGAAACTGGTGTAGTTTTTTCCTTGTCCTGATGCAGATCACTGTAAAAAGATACCTGATACTTCCTGCTATATTTTCTGTTTTAGTATAATCTATGACATTTTATATTGTTCCTTGAAATTCAAGAAAAATATATTTATATAAAAACTTAAATGTGTTCCATATTGATCCCCGCAGATAAGGTGATTTGGATAAAGATAGTAAATGAATAAGCTTCTTGAATTGCTTAATTATTTTTTCGGCTTCATGATAGTGGAAACTGAAAAAACCGACTTCTCTTGGCAACAAATAGAAATAATAAGTTTACTTGGGTGTCTTTTTTTTTTTTTTTTTGAACTGGAAGTTTACTTATTATGTAATAACTTCATTGATCATTTAACATGCATGAGCTTAGGCATAAATAGAAATCAACGGGTATTGCATCTTTTCAGGGGTTTCTTTGATGCTGGCAGAGTTAGCAATTGAAGCTGGTTTGCCTAATGGTGTCTTAAATATTGTTCATGGAACTAACGTAAGATTTACCTTTACTTTTCGTCTAGAATCTTTGTTCATCCACCTTCGCCTATTACTATCTTTTGGTCACGGGCAAGATAAAATGTAACAAAGAAATATTTCTTTTCCTTGCAACTTATCTGCCTCATAATTCCATTGTAATGTCACAAGCATTTCTGCTACTGTTTTGTCTATACCATTTACCTTATGTGCAGATATCTTAGCTTTTTCCATATAATCGTCAGACCCTATTGCTTTGCTTTATGCTTTGATATGCTTTCTTTTTATAAATTCTCATCTTCCAAACTTGTTTTGAGCAGGATATCGTCAATGCTATTTGTGATGATGACAACATCAGAGCTATTTCATTTGTTGGACCAAGTAGGGTAAGTTATTCCTCAGCTTTGAATTAATTGCTGCCTTCTGGTTCTTTCTAATTTTAATCTTGTATCTCTAGTCATTTCTTGGTTACAAAATTTGGTTGTCCTTAGTCTTGTCTTATTTATTCTTTTCTACTGTGTAAAGTGTCGGATTATGTGGATTATTTTGAGAAAGTTTTATTAGTTTCCTGATTCTTAGGAGATTTAGCTAGCTGTATATTCTAGTGGTTTATTTTCAAATTTTTAGGAGATTCTTTTGCTGATTCTTAGGCCCTCATATTTGTATTTATACCTCCTGTTGTAACCTAATTCGGTATCAATGAATAAGCTATTCTCTCATTTGTTTTTCCTCATGGTATCAGAGCTTTAGGCTTATTCCTGAGATTTCTTCCGTGATAGTCTGGCCGAATTCCTTCTTCCATCCCATTCGTCCATTCTCTCTTCTTTCTGGTCGACCTCTTAACCATGTCTGAATCAGTGGAAACCACAGCAACATCGGACGCTCCAGTAACAGAGAGTGTAGTCGCTGTCCAGCTCGGAGACCTGCAAAATATTCAGGCAGCATATCGACTGAACGGAAATAATTATTTGAAATGGTCACAGCTTGTTTGGACGTTCTTGAAGGGTCGGGGAAAATTAAGCCACTTACTAGGCATGGGTCCTTCGAAGGATGATCCGAAGTTTGCTGCATGGGATGAACAAGATTCGATGGTGATGTCTTGGTTATGGAATTCGATGCTACCAGAGATAAGTGATACGTGCATGTTTCTCGGATCCGCCAAGGAAATTTGGGATGCTATCTGACAAACATATTCCAAGGTCAATGATGTTGCTCAAATCTATGAAGTTAAGACAAAGATTCATGCAACCAAACAAGGTACACGAACTGTCACAGAATATTCGAGTTTTTTACAAGGCATGTGGCAGGAAATGAACCACTATCAATGCATTCAGATGCGCTGTAGTGAGGATGCAGCGATTTTAAAGCGATTTGTTGAGAAGGAACGTATCTACGACTTTCTTGCCGGTCTTAATGTTGACTTTGATGCGGCCAGAGTGCAGATTTTGGGGAAACCAGAATTGCCGTCATTAAACGAAACCATTTCGATTATCCGTACAGAGGAAGGAAGACGAAGTGTTATGTTGGAGACAGATGGAGGAGATGGATCTGCCATGGTGTCCAAAGCTGTGAAGGCTAATGAAGGGAAGGAAACCATCCCTATTTCACCATTTGTTCCAGCCAATCCACCATTTGTTCCCACCAATCAACCCAAATCTGTCAATAGGGATAGGGACTCACTGTTTTGCACATACTGCAAAAAACACCGCCATACGAAGGACCGCTGTTGGAAGCTTCACGGGAGACCCAACCGGGCTGTTAATGACAGGGGACAAGCACATGTTGCGAGCACTCAATCACATGATGAAGGAGGTTCTGGTTCGCATGATGTGACGCTAGGTTTTCACAAGGAAGGAATTGAAAAATTGAGAAGTTTGTTGGAGACACTTGAAAAACCTTCCACGACAGGTACGGGTGGTACATGTTCACTGGCGTTTTCAGGTATTTCTTCCTCTTCTTGTGCTATTAGTGTCTCAGAAAAAATTTCTCCACATACTTGGGTGATAGACTCCGGAGCCACCGACCATATGACTTACACCCCTAAATATTTCACGTCCTATACACCATGTTCCAGTCTCCGAAAGATAACTATAGCCGATGGATCAGTTATTACCGTAGCCGGACAAGGAGACATTTATATCAATAATTCCCTCACCCTTAAAAATGCTCTTCATGTTCCAAAATTGTCGGCAAATTTGGTTTCTATTCGAAAACTCACCAAAGATTTCAATTGCAATGTAACATTCTTTCCATCACATTGTGTGTTTCAAGAACAGGGCACGAAGAGGAAGATTGGACGTGCTAGTGAGAGGGACGGTCTTTACTACCTGGAAAGTCGAAGTGGAAGAGCTAAAGTGAAGATTCCCCATCTGCAACATTTCTTTCAGAGTCGGTCATGTCAAACAACAATAAAATTTGGCTTTATCATCGTCGTTTAGGTCATCCTTCATTCAATGTTCTTAAGTTAATGTTTCCTTCATTGTTCAAAGGGTCCAATCTAGAGTCTTTTCATTGTAATGAGTGTGAACTTGCCAAGCACAAACGTGCCTCTTTTCCAATAAGTAATACAAAAACTCTCAATCCTTTTTATCTTATTCATAGTGATATTTGGGGACCCTCAACTGTTCCAAACATTTCTGGCGCTAAGTGGTTTGTTTCCTTCATCAATGATTGTACTCGAGTAACGTGGATATACTTGTTGAAGAATAAATCTGAAGTTGGTACCGTGTTTCCCAATTTTTATAACATGATGAAGACACAATTTGATGTAAAAATCAAACGATTTCGTTTAGACAACGCCAAAGATTATTTCAATCAAATCCTTTCTCCATTTTTTCAAAGAGAGGGAATCATACACGAGTCTTCATGTGTCAGTACACCACAGCAAAATGGGGTAGCCGAACAGAAAAATGGTCATCTCTTGGATGTTACTAGAACCTTGTTGTTTCATAAACATGTTCCTAAATCATACTGGGGGGAAGCAGTTCTAACTACTGACCATCTTATCAACAGACTTCCTACGAGGGTTCTTAACTTCAAAAGTCCCATGGAGATTCTAATGAATTTTTTCCCTAACTTCCAGGCTTCCAATAACCTCATTCCCAGAATTTTTGGGAGCGTTGCCTTTGTTCATATTCATTCTCAAAACAGGGGGAAACTTGATCCACGTGCTTTTCGTTGTCTTTATCGGATATTCTTCTACCCAAAAGGGGTATAAGTGTTTCCATCCATCCACAAGAAAATTCTTTGTTACTGCTGATGTTACATTCATTGAGAATGAGTCCTTCTTTCAACATACCTATCTTCAGGGGGAGAATTTAGTTGAAGATAGAGCGAGGGACTTGCTTCTTGACTTTCCATCCATTCCTTCGTCCGTCCAGTCCATTCCTCCCGAGTCTGTTCCATCTACCATTCCTCCCGAGTCTGTTCCTGTTCCAGTTCCACCGTCAGATGAGGGAATCCAAGACAATACTCAACCATTGAAGCAGTATTTCAGGAAGAAAGTTCGCGTTCCTCAATCTGTGCAGGTACAATCTCCTGTTAGTGCTACTGTTCAGATTCCCGAAATTGGTATCTTAACCACAGAAAGTCAGACATCATCAGCCAAACCTAGCCAACCCCTAGAAAATCATGAAAAATCAGGAGATGAAGACCTACCCATTGCACTCAGAAAAGGAACTAGAGCTTGCACCAAACATCCACTATGCCTATTCCTGACCTACCAAAACCTCTCCCAAAGTCATAGAGCCTTCCTAAGTAGTCTCCATACCATAACCATTCCAAGAAATTTATCTGAGGCACTATGGGACAGGAAATGGGAGGATGCTATGAAAGTGGAGATGGAGGCACAAAGAATAATACGTGGGAGTTGGTCGAGTTGCCAAAAGGGGTTAAACCAGTTGGATGTAGATGGGTGTTCACCATAAAATACAAGTCGGATGGCTCAATTGAAAGATACAAAGCGAGGTTGGTTGCCAAAGGGTATACTCAAACCTATGGCATCGATTATCTTGAGACGTTTGCACCGGTTGCAAAGATGAGCACAGTGCGAGTCCTGTTGTCGTTGGCTGCAAATTTCGGATGGAATCTACAGCAATTTGATGTTAAAAATGCCTTTTTGCACGTAGATCTGGAGGAAGAGATATACATGGAAGTTCCTCCCGGGTTTCAATCAAAAGAAGGTACGGTATGTAAGCTGAAGAAGGCGCTCTATGGGCTCAAGCAATCGCCAAGAGCTTGGTTTGGAAGACTCACCAAGGTAATGATTGCCGCAGGATACAAGCAAAGCCAAGGAGACCATACCTTGTTTGTGAGACATTCGGATCCAGGGGGAGTGACGGCATTATTGGTGTATGTAGACGACATGATAGTAACGGGCAATGATACTAGAGAAATGCAAGAGCTAAAGTAGCGGCTTCTGAAGGAATTTGATATAAAGGAGCTTGGGAGATTAAAATACTTTCTTGGTATTGAGGTGGCGCACTCAAAGCAAGGAATTTTCATTTCACAACAAAAGTATGTATTGGATTTGCTAAAGGACACAGGGAAGCTAGGCTGTAAACCTATGGATACACCTATTGAGTTCAACCATGGACTATGTGAGGCACCTGAAGATTCGGCAGTAGATAAGAGTTCCTATCAAAGGCTTGTTGGGAGGCTGATTTATTTGACACACACAAGGTTAGATATTGGATTTGCTGTTAGTGTTGTAAGCAGATTCATGCACAACCCTAAGGAAATGCATCTCAAGGCGGTCCACAGAATTCTGCAATACCTGAAGGGCAACCCTAGGAAAGGTATTTTGTTCAAAAGAGGACAACGCATGACCCTCGAAGCCTATACCGACGTGGATTATGCAGGATCATTAGACGATAGAAGGTCAACCTCGGGTTACTGTACTTTTGTAGGAGGGAACCTTGTCACATGGAGAAGTAAAAAACAGAATGTGGTCGCAAGGTCAAGTGAGGAGTCAGAATTTAGATCACTGGCAGTGGGAATTTGTGAACTGTTGTGGTTAAAGATTATACTGGACGACTTGAAGATAAAGTTGGAAGGACCAATGAGGTTGTACTGCGACAACAAATAAGCTATCAGTATAGCTCACAACCCCGTGCAACACGACAGGACGAAGCATATAGAAGTCGATAGGCACTTTATTAAGGAAAAACTCGAAAGTGGCTTAATTTGCACTCTGTTTGTTTCTTCGAAGGATCAATTGGCGGACGTTCTTACCAAGGGTCTGTCAAGTGCCATGTTTCAGAATATAATTAACAAGCTTGGAATGGAAGACATCCATTTACCAGCTTGAGGGGGAGTGTCGGATTATGTGGATTATTTTGGGAAAGTTTTATTAGTTTCCTGATTCTTAGGAGATTTAGCTAGCTGTATATTCTGGTGGTTTATTTCCAGATTTTTAGGAGATTCTTTTTCTGATTCTTAGGCCCTCATATTTGTATTTATACTAGGCCCTCATATTTGTATTTATACCTCCCGTTGTAACCAAATTCAGTATCAATGAATAAGCTATTCTCTCATTTTTTTTCCTCATAAAGGATGGTGCTTACATTTATTCAAGAGCATCAGCCAAAGGGAAACGCATCCAGGTACTTTTATTTCTAACATTCTGCAGTTGCTACCATGAGTTGAGATCAATCTGATTTTTCTGCTGCTGTTGTATTTAGTCCAACGTTGGAGCCAAAAATCATGCAGTTGTTATGCATGACGCAAGCATGGATGCTACCTTAAATGCACTTGTTGCTGCTGGTTTTGGTGCCGCTGGACAAAAGTGCACGTCAATCAGTGTTATTGTTTTTGTTGGAGGCATAAATCCATGGTGTAGTAGTTTCTTTCCCTTGCATGTTTTGCACTTCTTTTGTGCTCAAAATATCTATAAAAAGTTAAGCTGTTCAACCCAACCACTGCTTCTTGTATGAATTGTTTCCATTCCTCACTCTTTGAGATTTAAGGGCATGTTTCACTTGATTGTAACTGGATGTAATGGGAAAGGGAGGTTTTGGAGGCGAAAAAAAGTAACAAGAAAAGGGATATTTACTTACCTGTTAGGAGGTTGAATTGGAATCAATCTAATTCACTTTCTAGTGTTGACTTACTTTAGGTATAAGCATTGTTGTAGTTTACGTACCAATATGTCCTCCAACAATTAATGAGTGGCTAAAAATTAATGAGGGTATAAAAGTAGTATTTGTTTTATGCTCCAAAAGGAAACAAAGCCATGGGTAGGTTGGGCACCAAATTAGCATTTCTTGTTTTGCAAGTATACACACGAATGGGCTTGTAAGGGAAACACTGCATTTCCCTTTTCCGTTTATGATTAGTAAACATACCTTAAGTTTCGTGAAGTTTCCTCTAAGCTTAGTTGGTGAGGTTTGTATGGATTCTGGGGCTAGGTTTAGAAATCCGGATCCTATGTTTCGTTGGATGGGAAAGAGTTAGAGCTTGTTTGGTAGCATAGAAAAGTGGAAGAAGGGAGAAGGGTTAGGGGATTAGTGGAAGGATTTTGGGACTCATAGTTGTTTGGTACGAGAGAAAAGAGGAGGGAATGGTTTAAATGAGGTATTTAAGTTTTGCAATCCTTCGAAGAACCCAGTTTTAATCTCTTCCAAAATATTCAGAAAAATATTAAAATGGTGTTTCTGTAAAATGGCCGATTTCTAAGGAAGAATTTAACAAATTTCTGAATTATTTGGGTGGAGGAAAAAAATGACTGTTTTTGGTAAATCTCATATTTATCGACTAAAATAATTCGTAAATATGAGTAAATATCATATTTACCGACTAATTAATGGGTAAGTCCCATATTTACTGAGTAAGCCTGGTCATTTTATTCATTACTGGTACATCCAGTCACTACCAAAATGAGAAAAGAAAAGTGGGTTATTTATTACAATTTCTCCATAAACAACAGGGCGGATAAACTAGTGGAGCGTGCTAAAGCCCTTAAAGTTAATGCTGGAACAGAAACGGATGTAGATCTTGGTCCGGTGATAAGCAAGCAGGTGCATGATTGGAGCTTTTGACCAATAAATTCATATTTGCTTTTGAAGAATGGTTTCAGATAAGTTTTGGCTTCATTTTCTTAAGCACTTCATGTTTCTTTTGTTCTGCTTATATATTCGTTACTGCCAGGCAAAGGAGCAAATCTGCCGATTGATCCAAACAAGTATTGAAAGTGGTGCGAAACTTCTGCTTGATGGAAGAAACATTGTGGTACTTATTTTATCTGTGCATCATTTTTGATCCGTTAATCATTTTAGTTTAGTTTTCTGTTTCTACAATATGGATTCTTTTAGTAACATATTAATTATGTCTACGTATTAATGATTTAGAGGTAAAATATTGCATCCAATGATATACCTCAATTTAATATTTTGCTGTTAATAATAACCAATAAGTGCAGATAACTTTTTCTTCCTAGCTTTCCTTTTTGGGGATTGAACAATAAAGTCTGGAGAATGGATGCTGAAATTATTTTTCTTTTGTTTTCTTTTACGGATATTAGCCATTTGAATATGTTATAATGCAAGGATAGTTAACAAGCAACGCAACAATCATTTCAAAGTAAAATGTGATTTCAAGATTCTCTGTGTTTGTCGATGCTCTTGGTTAGAGGTGATGTCATTATGAAACGACATTGCTTTCGAGAGATATGCCGTTCTTCTAAATAGCATGACATAGATGTGTAAACTTTTAATTTCCACTTTTACCGCCAAAAAAAAAGAAGGAATAAAATGGTAACTACTACGTGATTTAGAACACATAATTTTTGGTATCACTTGTAAGGTTTCATTTCATACCTCCCTCAAGAAAAAAATCTCTTTCTTTTTTATAAATTATCAACAGGCGTTAGAACAGTTTGCAAGTTTTCCTTTTCTCCATTATGATTAAACATACCATTAAACAGCTTTTTCTGTTGATATTTGTTTTTTTTTTTGTTTTGTTTTTTCGAAAAGTAAAATCCTTGTTTGCTCTTTTATTTCCTCCTGAGAATTACAGATTAGATTTAAAAACTAGCTTGCCCGTTTTTCACATTGTTGTTTTTTCAAATAATAACTAGGTTCCGCAATATGAGCATGGCAACTTCATTGGTCCCACCATCTTATCCGACATCACTGTTAACATGGAATGTTATAGGGTATGTCAAGTACCTTTGCAAGATGGAACGCTAGTGCGGAAGTGCCTGAATTATTATTATTATTATTATTATTTTGTTTTTTGTGGGAGGGGGGAAGAATGATATTCCATTTCTTTGAGTTCTTTTCCTTATTGACTTGAAGCACGTTTCTTCTAAGCATCTCAAGAATATAACATATTGATCTCTTGTTTCTCACAGGAGGAACTTTTGGGCCCAGTCCTCCTCTGTATGCAGGTAGCTATTACCTATCTCATTTAACCTACATGACAAGTGGGTTATTTTATGTTTTAAAAGATATACTGTTTATTATTCGACACAGGTCGCGAGCATTGAGGAGGCCATACACATCGTTAACAGAAATGAGTATGCTCAAGTTTATACTTTTGACCACCATTTTTTCTAATTATCTTTCGAAGCTCATATCCACTTGCTACCCTCTTATAGATACGGCATTGGAGCTTCAATATTTACAACATCCGGTATAGCAGCAAGAAAATTCCAAGCTGAGGTTGAAGTCGGGCAAGTAATAAGGCACATTCCATTGTAGCACGTCTTGAGCTTAGCTGATCCATGTTTTCAAGACAATAGGACAATAGGACAGTGCAAGTAGTCAAAGTAAAAATACTAAAAATTTCCATTTTCTAATTCTTTACCCTCGCGACCTTAAGTGTAATAGATGAGCAGAACTAAAGATAGTAGTATGTTTTGTTATTAGTTCAATGGCATTGGTTAGCCAAACCCTAGTAATAAGAAACCATCCAAAAATTTTTAATAGTAGAATAAAAACAAATACCCAAAATCCCTCAAAAAACCAAAAATATTCGGACGTTTTGTGAATTGAGTTGTTTTTCATTTCTACTATCTATGTTATATGGAATGGTTTTTGGCCCAGGTTGGCATTAATGTTCCTATCTCAGTCCCACTGCCCCTTTCCTCATTTACAAGCTCCAGGCCATCTTTTGCCGCTGATCACAACTTCGATGGTAGAACAAGCACATTCGATGTTACCCGCTTTAGCAACTATTATGAAAAATGAATTGGATCTGATTTTCTAGTTCTGTGAATTGCAGGTAAGGCAGGAATTCAGTTTTACACCCAAGTAAAGACTGTTACTCAACAATGGAAGGATTTATTGGGCAGTGATGGTGGAGCCTCTGTGGCACTGCCAAGTTCATAGACTAGGAAAAATGTTCTTAGTGTGAATATCTTATATTTATTTTAGTATTGTATAGTCTCTTTATATTTATATTTATATATATATATATATATATATATGTGTGTGTGTGTGTGTGTATGTGTGTGTAATATAATAATTAGATAAGGCCAGACTAATCGGATCAGATCAAGATGTGGATCTAATTAGATAATGTTATAAATTATAACAAAAATAAATCACACTCGTCAATGTATTATACTACTGTTGTACTTTTCTTGTATAAGATAAGATTTTCTTTCCCCTCTTTTTTACGACCCTCAAAAGCAATTGTCTTCGGACTCCATTCGTCCAAAATTTCACTTCCATTAGTATTATCTTGTCCTCCCATCCTCAGCAAAAAGCCAAAAACCAAAGGATCACTCCTTTTGGCGGTGCAAGGTGATTGTTCATATTTTTTATGCACAATTTGTTGACAGATCTTGCAGCTTCTTACTATCAACTTCTATCCATAAAACCAATAATTAATTAATTAAAAGAGAGCTACACTTTGATCTTCACTTGTCAGTTTCCTTCAAAATTTTTCTACACAAGCCTAATTGGAAAATCAGTCGGTAAATCAATCATTTACTGTCTAAAGAAAATTTTTACATCGACTAAATCAATAAATCCCCCATTGAAAAAAGAAAAACTCAATTGCTAAATTCATTATTCTATATCAATTGGTATATCTACTATTTAGTTAGGAGAGAAAGGGGTAATTTTTTATTTATTTTACTACCGTTTAGTTTGTTGATTCGAATTTTTAATTTGAGTTAAGACGTGATTTTATATGAGAGCTTTTTACTGTAGCAAAACTCAAATTTTAAACTCGAATTAGTGAAATGAACGAGGTGTTTTTCTTTTTAAACTTGGGAGAATTTAAACTCGTCAAGTGGAATTAAATGAGAAATTACAATTAAACTATATTTACAACTAGGAGAAAAGGGTGTTTTTGTCGATTAATTTTAAACCTGGTTGATTGGTTATATATTTACTAAGATATGGTATAGTCCAAAATTTTGTTACAAACTCCCTAAAATTGAACTTTTTAATTCACTTATTATTGTTATTATTATCGTATGTAATAGCACTAGTGTCTCTTTACCTAGAATTGAGTTCATATATCCCCTTTCGTCTCCCTATTATGTCACTTAAGTTAAAATTATGACCTCTTAACTGATATGATAATATATATCATATATTTTAAATGACGTGACAGTTTTAATTAACGTGTCATGATATTATTAGGGGAATATGAAAATGTATAAAAATAAGGAGTCATATGAGTCAATTCCCTTTGCGGCTTTACCTAACCTTAATAAGTTTAGGGTTAATTACAAAAATTCTCTTTGAATTATGCCACTTGTAACACTTTATCTCATAATCTTTAAAACGTAACATCCGTTCAATGAAACAATAAAACGGTAATAAAAATCCCCCATTCGTTAAGAAATTTAACAGTTTTGACACGTGTCACATAAATAACAGTTGTTGTTAATCAATGCAGAGCACAATTACTATTTCAACCATGCACCCTAATTTTTTTAGTCTAATTTACATATAATATAAAAAATAAAATAAATCTTCTTCGTCCTAGTGACACAATTAATAATGGATGTTTTGTAATTAAAATTCCAAATTTTAATTAGATTTAAATTTATATTAAATTTCAAACCATAGAGTTACTAAAATACTCATAAAATAATTAATTAAATGTCAATTTTCTTTAAAAACTTAACTAATGAGCTTTTGTTAACATTTTATTGTTTAAGAGAAATAATTATTATGTTTTAAAAATTAAAAAGTAAAGTGTTACAAAAGTTATAATTTAAGAGGAATTTTTATTTAATTCATAAATTTATCCAACATCAATGTCAATTCACTTATTATTGTCTTTATTTTTTTTAGAAAAAATTATTAAATTTATTCGTAAAATGTATAAATTAAATTTTATCTCTATAAATAAATATTCTTTTAATTAAAAAAATATTAATTAAAAATAAAGAATAAAAATGGAGAATGTACGTTCCTTTCATAAATCATAACCAGACTCCATACAGAGGCCCACAACCGGGTACCGGAATATTTTAGTTGTGCCCGTACTTTCTCTCACTAACCTCCACGGTCCGATCATACACTTCTCCTCATCATCCAACGGTCGAACTTGGTTTACAACTCTCAATCAAGCACTCTTCAAAAGCAGAACACCAACACAACTACATATAAAAGAGCTGCTGACGCTGAGCTGAGTGGAAAACTTCAAAATCATCAAATCAGCGAAAGAAAGAAACGATGTCGCAGTTTTTGATTCAACGAGGTAAAACATTCACGAAACTCTGGTTTCCATGGAAACTATAACTGTGAAACTCAGATTCGATCTTACGTTTGTGTTTTTGAAGTATTTGTAGGGAGGAACTTGAAGGCTTTGAGGCCTCAGATCTTTTGCTTGAGGAGCTCTGCGTTTTCTACAGCCGCCGAGCCCTCAAAAGGGCAGCCTAATCCTCTGGTAATCCTTTTGTTTGTTTGTTTCCAGAGAAAATTGGTTCTTAACTTCTTATGCGTATGACTTTATTGGTTTGCAACTTTACGGAGACGAGATATACTTTAAAGAGTTTGGGTGGATTAGGAAGGAACTCGTTTTAAAATAATTTTATTTTTTTATATGAAAATAAAAATGAAAACGTTTTAAATTTAAAAAATTATTTTTAAAAATGTGTTTGGTAGTTTTATGAAGAGATTATTTTCAGTATAAAAAAGTTATTGATGTCTCTCTTTTTTTCTCTACTCGAAAGAGGAGAAAACGGAAATAAAAAATGAAAAACGACTAAAAGTCGTTTTTCATTTTTCTCTTAATTTATACTAAATTAAAAAATCGTTTTCATTTCTGTTTTTTGTCTTTAATTGTGCCGAACGCCGTTTCTCTTCGTTTTTATTTTTTCTTTCTCAAAAAATCTGAAAAACAGAAACAAAAACAACTCCAAACACAATCTTTGTTTTTGCTTATTTTTTTGTGCTCTTGTCTGGATGCCGAGAAAGTGCGGGAAAAAATGAACGGAACTTGGAAATTTCACTGGTTTGCTTAAATTTGAACTGATGTAGAATTGGACTTTTAACATAATTAATGGAATTCAGGAAGACTGGCACAGATTTTTGTTTCTAAATGAGTAGGGATTTAAGTCAAACATGAATTTCCATGCTAAAGACATAGCCTTTGAGTTTAACTGATGCAATTTATTTTTTACTTGATTGCTTATACTTATTGTGGGTTTATTCTGCACAGAGGGTTCCGAATCTTATTGGAGGTAGTTTTGTTGATTCACAATCATCAGCGTTCATTGATGTTATAAACCCTGTGAGTGAATAAGATGCTGCAACATTTTCTTATTTTCTTTAGAAACTGATCTTTAAGATGTGATTCTTGTATTGAGAGTTTTTTGGCAAAATTTTGATGGTAGGCTACGCAAGAAGTCGTTTCGCAAGTTCCTTTGACCACAAATGAAGAATTCATAGCTGCGGTATCTGCAGCAAAGCAAGCGTTTCCTTCATGGCGTAATACGCCAGTTACAACCCGTCAACGCATAATGTTCAAGCTTCAAGAGCTTATTCGCAGAGACATTGTAAGTAAAAGTAATCCTGTGGGAAATTGTGGCTTTTGCGATTGTCAATCCTTCGCTGTCCATGACTGTGGGTCCCACATGGGCCCACATAAATTGGCTACTGTAATTGAATGGTTGTGACAAGGCATAAGCTGACAACAACTCTAATAAGTGTTTTAAGGATTTTGTACTTGAGAGTTTTTGTTCAGTTCAAAATTTTTGAAGGCAGTAACTGAAATCAGTCTATAATTGATTCAGGACAAGCTTGCTGTAAATATTACAACAGAACAAGGAAAGACACTAAAAGATGCACATGGGGATGTTTTTCGTGGGCTAGGTTTGTATGTTTACTTTGTTGTTTTAAGTAGGTTTTATACCATAATAGTGGCAGAACAATTAGTGATTTCCAAACTCTGTGAATTTTGATTGGTTTTTACGTTTAGAGGTGGTGGAACATGCATGTGGTATGGCAACTCTGCAGATGGGGGAGTATGTCTCCAATGTATCCAATGGAATTGACACATACAGTGTTCGGGAGCCACTCGGTGTCTGTGCTGGAATTTGTCCCTTTAACTTTCCAGCAATGATTCCATTATGGGTAAGCCTGCTAATTTTCCCTCTTGATGATAAACCACTGTGTAACTACTGACTACAAGTCCTTTTTCACATGTTGGTTTTAGTTTCCTTCTGCAAGAGACAACTGGTTGCTCATTTTCAAGTCTTTGACATTTCAGTACTGTTAACGTGCATGAGGCTAACATTATACTATTCTGTATGTCTACAATTACTGTTATGCCTTACGAGTGTTATTTTTACAAGATGACAATTTTCTTGTTTGTGTTGGTCTGAGTATTTTTCATCACAGGTCCAATAAATTAGTTATAAAATCTAATTGTTTGTTTCATAATCTTACTGCAGATGTTCCCAGTTGCAGTTACATGCGGAAATACATTTGTTTTAAAGCCATCGGAAAAAGATCCAGGTGATATGTTCAGACCGGGATGTATAGATTCCTTGAGTATTGTCCCTAAAGAGTAAATAATCTATCTGTAGAGAGTGTATTTATGAGGATTTACTTAGAAACATCTTTTCTTTGTCTGGAAGCTTATGCTTTATGAGGAATACCGAATTCCTTGATGAAAGTTCTACACTTGCCTAATCTTAGAAAGATGCAGGACAAGACGTAAATGTACTTAAACTATTGGTCTCAGCATTAATTTAGGGTCAGGTATTTTGGTGGGTAGATACGGATAGTCCTCTCTGGCACCTAATTTTATGTAAGTATAAGTCAAATATGCAGCAAGAAATTCTTTTGGCTGTATCTCGGGCTTCTACGTAATTTGATGTTCCTGTACAAATGAAATCATTATTTCAGTTATTACCTCATATATTAACATCCCTTTGCCTGTCATCCCCACATTGCACTTTTTTGCTATTATCTCTTTGGCTCATTGTACATATGATGCCTCCTATGATATGAAAAGCGTTCAATATCTTCTTTGCATTGTTATATAAGGGTTGCATGCAACTAGAATATACATGCTTTTACGTGAAACTGATTGGAAGTTGTGTTGTTTCTGCAGGCGCTTCAATAATACTTGCAGAGTTAGCAATGGAAGCTGGTTTGCCTAAGGGTGTCTTGAATATTGTTCATGGAACAAATGTATGCAGTACGCATGTAGTTCAACTGATTTTTCCTCACTCTACATGCTTCATTGACCTTTATTTATTCCTTACTAAACAGATTCATTGCTTATGTGTGATCTCTTGTTGATCTTCAATTTTATCATGGTGAATATTAGAACTCAATCATGGCATGAAGATGTTAGCTATTGCAGTTAAAAACTCTTAATGCTATACTAGAAATCTAGAACTTTCCTGCTTTTACCAAGAGGGGACAGGGTTTACTGAAAGTGAGATGCTACTTTTTGCATAGGAGACTATGAATTGGAAGATATTACCACTGAATTGGTGTCAATATGTTTCCCCTTTTATGGTTCTCAGCCTTATGGCATCCCGATGAGTATCGCTTTGTGCAGGATATCGTGAATGCAATTTGTGATGATGATGATATCAAAGCTGTATCATTCGTAGGTTCCAACACTGTAAGTACCATAAAGCATATCTTCATTTTTTTTTTTCAGTTGAGAAAGCATTTCTTTAATATATATCCTATCCACTACTTTTATAAGAATAATGAAACAAATTCTTAATGCTTAATATAAAGCATGTCAAATGATTGAGGATATGCACAATAAAGAGGCATCAAGCCTGATGACGGTTGTCTTAGATCACGATTTGAACTTCGTGTGAAAAGGTTCATGCCTTACACAAGATGCATGTGAAAATGGATTTTGTTTCTGTTTACATTGACGTATCTTTTAGTTTGGAATGGATTCCGTATGTTGGAATATTTGAGAATAAAGTGTACTTGCAAGCTTAGCCTGGTAGGAAGTTCACGACAACCTCAACATTGAGGTCTTGAGTTCAAAGAAAGATCAGAAGTAACATAGGCCTTGTTTCTATTTGAATAAGTTATGTTTCATTCTGTTATCTCTTTGGGGGACTTTCTTCCCCTTTCAAAATAGAAGGGAGTAGGCTGCTTATTTGTACAAGAAGTTATCCGTACTTTATTGTTGCTCCACCAACAACTGAGCAATATGCATATGTTTATGTAGCAGAATTATTTGTACTTACTTGATATTGCCATTTTCTCAATGACTTCTTCAGCAGTTTTTAATGGATTTGTTTTTCTCTACTGGATCTTATGTGTACATCTTTATTTTACATTAAAAGGCTGGCATGCATATATATTCAAGGGCAGCAGCTAAAGGGAAACGTGTTCAGGTAAGTCAAATTCAGCTCCTTTGGGAAAAAAAAAAAAAGAAAAAGAAAAGTATGAATAGTTTTGTTTGTTCCTTTCATATCCTTGTGACTGTTGAAAGGATCCAACTTCCTTTCTTTCTTTAGTCGAATATGGGGGCCAAGAACCATGCAATCGTGATGCCTGATGCAAGCGAGGATGCTACTTTGAATGCCATTGTTGCAGCTGGATTTGGTGCGGCAGGCCAGAGGTGCATGGCACTCAGCACTGTTGTTTTTGTTGGAGGTGCAAAGTCATGGTATGACAAACTCATCCCTCTCCAAATGCTTCCCTTCTATGAAAATGTTTTATTTTACGAGAAAGACCGTACAAAGAGATCTCTTCTTAGCTAGCATGCATTTTGTGTAGGGATGAGTTTTTTACCCGCGGTATCCACCCCGAATAGGGCGGACATGGGGGTTGTTAAATGGGGAGGGGGCGGGTATGGGGGTTGTTAAATGGGGATGGGGCTGGGTTTGGAGGTTTATATTGTCCACATAAATGGGGGCGGGGGCAGGGGAAGCACCTGCTGCCCCCATACTAGCCCCGATATACATAAATATTTTTAATACAAATATATATAATATATTATAATGCTACTTAAAAATATGCGATTAAAAAAGTTGAAAAGTAATTTTCCATCTTTAAAAATCCTAATGATTCCTAATTTTATATTTAATTTGATGTGATTTATATATGTGTTAATAATATTGCAATATTTTTTTTCCTTAATGGGTAAATGGGTAAGGTATAGGGAAGGCCTCTCCGATATGAATTCTTGGACCCCAAGTAAGGCGGGTTTGGGGGCAAAAATGAAAGCAGGGGCTGGGGCAGGGAAGCATGCCTGACCCCGTTTACCCAATTATCATTCTTAATTTTGCGTCTACGGTCTATATTCAACTTTGCATTCTCAAGGGTTACAAAAGTATCCCTATACAATCCCTCCCCTGTAACACCTTTCAGTTTACTTAATCTCATTAAATTCAACAATAGTTCAGCTTTACCATTAGTAATCCATTTCCGTAGTTATCTGGAACCTTATTTGAAGGCAACACTTATGTCCAATTGTAACTGAATTGGATACTAGGCTAAGGGTGGGCTTCTTAAGGGATTAGCAATTTGAAGAGATAAATTTTTGAATTTTTTAGAATGCAAGGTTGAACATTGCATTTCACTTGAACATAATGGAGAATTTTGTAATTTTTCCTTACGGTACCAACATACAGCTTTTAGTAAAATTGATTCTTTTCACTTTAACAACTTAATCACCAAAGTGATCGCGCATTGCAGAGTGTCTTAGTTGTAAATTGTAGTTTTCCTCTTAGCCAAATGATTTTATATATGTATTAAATCATTTCTGAAAACATTTATCCACCTATGCTCACCCTGTAGGGACTGAGGTTTCTTCGAGGAGTTCCACCTGTTATTAACTTTTATCTACCTTGTTATGCAAATTCCATATTTTGTATTTATTTCTACCCATAGGCCTCAGAAAAGGTAATGCATCTATGCAAGACCCTTAATGTCTCAAGCACAGGGTATCCAGAGATCATGAAATTTTCATTGTGATATAGGTGCTTTTCCGAGATTCATTTCTCACATGGCAATTTTTGGTAAAAAAGGGATCGGTCATAATCTTTTTTTTTTTTTTTTTTTTTTTCTGTTGAAAAATAAAAATATAAACTTTTGCAGGGAGAACAAACTAGTTGAGCGTGCCAAAGCTCTCAAAGTAAATGCAGGAACTGAACCTGATGCAGACCTTGGTCCAGTAATTAGCAAACAGGTCGTCACCTTTTTTTTTATTCTTTTTTATTTTTAAATTTTATTTTGATCTTGAGCATACTACTTAATTTTACGCCAAGACGGGGAAATTGAAGTCTTTCACACTTGATAGTTAATTGATTTTGAAACTAGTAACAAAGTCCCTATTTGTTTCACTGGTTTAGTTCTTCAACTCAGCTTGAACAGTGAGCAAAGTTTGAATTCATTTTTGGTAAGCACGTCGTCCGAATAATATTCCCCGTTTAAATTGAGTTAAATTATCTAACTTAGAGTTTAACTCTCCTCTAAAGTTAAACCGTTCAAACCATTTTTGAATAGTAAAAAGATGCTCAGGCCCCGTTCATTTCGCTGATTCGAGTTTTGCTACAGTAAAAAGCTCTCACAAACAATCACATCTAACTTTTTTGCTACAGTAAAAAGCTCTCACATAAAATCACATCTCAACTCGAATTGAAAACTCGAATCAGTGAAATGAACAAGGCCCACTCTCTCTGTTTTTCACACCTACTAAACACAAATTTGAATTTTATTCCCCGTTCAGGTTAAATTTTAACTGCACATCTAAACGCCAATTCAAACTACAATTTAAACTATATAGTTTGAATTTTTCTATTCCGATAAAAATGTTCGAATCAATAAAATTCGAACCAACGAACCAAACGGTATAAAAGTAACTTTTAGTTGTATATACAACCAACTCTTTTGCACAGCTCCATGCTTGAGGGGGTTTTTTTTTTTTTAATAAATTTTCTTTCTTGCATTCACAGGCCAAGGAACGAATATGCAGATTAATTCAAAGTGGTGCTGATAGTGGTGCTAGGCTACAGCTTGATGGCAGAAATATTGTGGTATCTCTCTTTCATTATCTTACTAGATTACTGATTTTAGACACCTCCTTATAAGTTTACAATAAAATATGATTTACTCAGTCACATTTTATGTTTAGTTGATTAGCTGTCTCACAAAAGGGCATGGTATGGGAAACATAAAAACAAGTAATGAGTGAATGAACTTATTTATGACTAATTATATAAATCTATTAGATATGTGAGTCTCATGTTGTCTTGGTTGGAATCGCTGGAAAATAAAACTCCTTTTTTTTTATAAATATTTTCACTTATGGAACCATGAAATTCAGACTCATGTGAGAGGCCAAGGGGCAGTACTAAAAAAAGTAATTTTGACATCTTTCTCTCGACTTGGGAAAGGATCATACTTAAGCTGCTTGGGGATTATAATTATACTAATAGCCTTGATTAGATTATGAAATTGAAGAGAATGGGATCAAATTCACGGAGCGAGAGGGAAATAGGGGAGATTTTCCGGTGTACAAGTCTTCCTATGTCCCAATGCTGCCATCAATCTCAAGAGAAGAGAGATAGTTGAAGAGTCTATTCTCGATTATGCAAATAATCAATGTCGCCTACCACCTAAAAAAGGAGAAGGGAAGTATTTTTGTTCAATAAATTTAGACCTTTGCGAGATAATAATGGTTCTTCAGAAGGCAAGAGAGTCTTTTAATAAGGAGCGGGCCGACTCAGAAATTGGGCCTTCAATAGTTGGGCTTACTAATAGAGACAAGCTATTAAGCTATTTGAAGATGGGATTTTGTAAAGCATCCTCAGAACCGACTGAGGTGAATTCTGGCCAAAAACAAGTCAGAATTTGTTAGGGCTACAATTTAAAAAATGGGATGATGAAAATCAGAGAAAAACTCCCAAAAAACCGGTTCTGCATTACTCTAAGCCACGGTTCTTTGGAGAATTGCAGAATCAAGCATTTCCTTTTTTTTTTCTTTTTATCAGCACTCTAGAAGAGTTCCAAAGAATAATATCCATGGATGCGGGATTGAGAGAGAATCGGATCTTGTCCCAGAAACAGGGCATACAGATGTTGAAGGAGGAGATTTTCTTCCCTAAGACGAGGATGCATCAGGAGATGAGAGCAGTTCGCGATCAGTCTCTTCTTTTTGTTCAACGGAGGAGTGGGTTGGACAATCAGGAAGGGTTTGTGGGTCTAGAGGAAGTGAGGTTTCTTACCGCAATAGGGAGTTCGGAGGAATTAGTGTTGGAGAGCCAAGCAGGTAATAATCTTGAAACTAGCTCAAATGCTTTAACTCTTTCTCCTCTAGCATCAGTGGCTCCAGTTGAGATTTATAAGTATGAGGGTGGGCTAACGGAGGGATGTAATTCAGTGGCCGGTAGAATTGCAGGGGCCCAAAGTTGGGGAAGGGCAGAATTATGCACATAAGGAGAGAACAATCTAATTGCAAGGGTTTGATCAGTTTAGCACACTGACTATTGGTGGTAGGAGAGTGAAGTGGAGTAAAATCTGGTCAGTGCTTCAAAATATGCACCTTCAACTTTCGAGTTCAAAGAAGGGGAATAAAGGCAATGTTGGAGGGACTGCAAAGACAGCCAGAATAAAAGGCCAAAACCTGGAATTGAAGAATTTGGAATATAATATCTGGTAAGATAAGAAGGCTAATGGGGAAATAATCTTTAATGAAACTGATGACTTGGAATATCAGAGGAGGGAACTCTCCTTTAAAAAGAAGGGGAGTTCGAGAGGTTGTGGGTAAAGAAAACCTTGAAATTTTGATTATATAAGAGGTTAAACGGAAAGAAGTAGAGAGAAGATTTGTGGGTAGTATTTGGCAGTCCAGATTCAAAGAATGGGTCCTATTACCTGCCATGGTGTTCTAGAAGAATTTTGGTAGTTTGGGATGTTAGACGAATTAAAGTAGTTGAAAGCCTTTTGGGAGATTTTCGGTTACTATTGAAGTTGAGGAAGGAGATTTTTGGTGGTTTACAGGAGTATACGGCCCTAACCACCACAATAAAAGAGAGTTGTTTTGGGATGAGTTAGCAGGGGTTTGGAGTTTGTGTGGTCAAAGATGGTGTGTTGGAGGAGACTTCAATGTTACCCGGTTCTTGTCGGAGAAGAGTGGCAGCAGCACCATCACAAGGAGTATGAAGCTGTTCGGTGAGCTCATTAAGGATTTGTAGTTGACTAATCCACCTCTTCACAACGTGAAATTTACCTGGTCTAATTTCAGTGATTCCCCCATATGTTGTAGATTGGACAGGTTCTTGCTTTCTGAACGTTGGATGGAGTTCTTTCCGTATGGGCGTCAAGAAGCTTCTGTTCGAGCAGTTTCTGATCACTGCCCGGTTCTTTTTCATACAAAACCGCTAGCATGGGGGCTCTCCCCCTTTAGATTTAACAATATTTGGCTTGAGAATAAGGAGTTAATTAAATGTATGAAGGTTTGGTGGGTAGAAGAAGAAGTTGGAGGTTGGGAGGGTTACTGATGTATGTGGAAGTTGAAGTTGCTGAAAGGAAAAGTAAAAAGGTGGAGTATGGAGGTAGCCGAGGCTAAACGAGTGGAGAAGAGGAAAACTTTAAAGAGAATCGAGGAGATTGATCGTAAGGAAGGGAGCTCCGATTGGTCTTCGGTGTTGCAGCGGAAGGATTTTAAACACCGATTGTTCCGCTTAATAGAGGAGGAGGATAGGGCTATAAGACTAAAGTGCAAATCCATTTGGGCTGAGAGGGAGATGCACATTCCAAACGTTTCCATCGCTTACTAAATGCAAGGAGAACAAGGAACACCAGTTCAAAATTGGAAACAAAAGATGGAGTTTTCACAGAGGAAGAGGAGGATATTACGAAGAGGATAGTTGAATTTCATGCTAAATTATATGAATCGTCGGGTGGGGAATTTTCTGTGTTGAAGGTTTGGATTGGAGTCCGACTTCTACACATGTTGCTGAATCTTTGGAGAAGCCTTTTGAAGAGGACGGAATTAAGAGAGCAGTTTTCAGTTGTGACGGCAACAAGGCTCCCGGTCCGGATGGTTTCACGCTATCTTTTTTTAGGAGTGTTAGGATTTTATGAAAAGTGATGCAGTGAAGACGATTGAAGAATTTTGGAGGTTTGGGATTGTTAATAGTATCACCAATGAAACATATATTTGTTTGATCCCTAAAAAAGTCAATTCTTACAAAATTAGGATTTTAGACCCATTGGCCTCTATAAAATCATATCGAAGGTGTCGTCGAATAGGCTGAAGGTTGGGAAACAATTTTAGAAGTTCAAGGGGCGTTTGTGGAAGGAAGGCAGATTTAGATCTAGTGTTGGTTGCAAAGGAAGTAGTGGAAGACTTGGAGCTTCAAGAAGAGAGGGGGTGGTGGTGAAAATTGATTTCAAAAAGGCGTATGATCACGTGGAATGGAAGTTTCTAGATTTTGTTTTGGAGTGAAAATGGTTTGGTGCTAGGTGGAGAAAGTGGGTAGCGGGGTGTGTCGGTTCAGTTAATTATTCCATGATGATTAATGGTAGGCCAAGGGGCAAATTTGCAGCCTTAAGAGGGCTGCGGCAGGGGGACCCGTTGTCCCGATATTTGTTTACTCTTGTAGTTTATGTGTTGAGCAGGTTAGTTGACAGAGTCGTCGAAGCTTCTCTTGTCATTCTGCTAAGTGTGGGGAGATCGAATGTCAAAATAAGCCAGGTCCAGTTCGCGGATGATACACTATTTTTTAGCCCACCTGAAGAGGAAAGCTTGTTGAATCTAACCTCTATTTTGGAGATTTTTTGTCTAGTCTCGGGTTTGAAAATGAACCGGGACAAAATCATTATTCTGGGCATAAATGTGGAAGAAGAGAGGTTGTCTAGGCTGGCTAGTGTTGTTGGTTGTTCAGTGGGTTCGTGGCCAGTCAAATGCTTGGGTTTACCTTTAGGTGGAAATCCGTTGCAGACATCTTTTTGGGATCCGGTGGTATATAAAGTGGCTAAGAGATTGGACAGGTGGGAAAAGCTTTCTTGTCAAAAGGAGGTAGGCTAACTCTCATTCAGTCAATTTTATCTACCTTGCCTATCTACCTTGTTGCAGTAGCGGGGGTGATTGAGAAGCTCACAAGAGACTTTTCTTGGGAGGGGTTTTCTGACGATAATGCGACTCACTTGGTGGGTTGGGATCAGGTTTGTAGTAGACCAAAGAAGGTGGGGAGTATTGGGTATTGGGAATTTAAGGAAGAGAAATGAAGACCGGTTAGCAAAATGCCTTTGGAGGTTTCCGTTGGAAGCTGATGCATTATGGCATAGGGTTGTGGTTGGGAAGTATGGATTGGCTTCAAATAAGTGGGATTCAAGAGCAGAATTGAGAGTAGCATTCATATGCCCATGGAAGTCAATTCAGTTGATATCCGGGTTGTTTTTCCAGCGGGTTAAATGGAAAGATTGGCTTGGGAGAAATTGTGAGATTTTGGGAAGATTCTTGGGTCGAAAGTGGTCCTTTGTGCTCAAGATTTCCTTCTCTATACAGAATTTCCCCTCTTCAGAATAAGCCAATATCAAATTTTGTGGAGGACAATGAAGTTCAGGATGATGGCAGCGTCTTATGGAATTTCAAATTTCCAACGAATCTAACAGATAGGGAGTCGAGGGAGGTCTTGGAGTTGATTGCGAATGTGGAGAGAACCAGGCTCATTGGTGTAATCCAAGATAGAAGGGAGTGAGTACCTGATAGTCGCGGCTTGTTTTATGTTAAGTCACTATTCTTTTCATTGATAGCTGATTCATCAATTTCGCGCTTTGCTTCTATGAGAATATTTGGAAAACTCGAGCCCCCATTAGGGTCCAAGTATTTTGTTGGCTGCTCGCTCTTAATAAGGTGAATACTCATGATTCATTGCAACAAAGAAGTTTGTTCCTTTCAATTTCCCCAGGGTGGTATTGCTTGTGTAACGATGATGGGAAGTCGGCATATCACTTGTTTTTGCATTGTGCTTGTTAGTTTACCAATCCATCCCAAAAGCTTAAGCTATTAGGAGGTGGGCTAACAATA